GTAATCACAATCTAGAGAAACTCCACTGTCTCCAGTGCTCCGTATGGGGACGGTCTGCTTTAAGTCACAGACTGCACTCCTGATGACAGAAAGGGTTCTGTTTTCAGTAAAAAGCAGACGCCCTGCTGACACCAAGAGGAAAGACACAGCCAAAGAGAAAGCTGGGAGGCTGGTGGGAGGAGCTGGCGTCGTGGCCACACAGGAGAGGATGGCACAACCACAGGCTGCCTGACCTTCCACCTGGCAGAAATGACTTTCTCCCTGGCACTCAAGGAGCTTTACCCAAGGGCCGAGGATGGGAATCCTTAAACAGTAAATTATGTTCCTGTGTTAAGTAAAAGGACATTTATTAAGTATCAGTAACATAAAGAAAGAATTCTAATAGTTCTACAGCTTTTAGTCTGTAAGATAAACAAAGATGTCTAAGGAAAACTGTGGCAAGAAATAAAACCTACAGCCTGAATGGACAAAGAAAAAATAAAAATCAAGGGTGGCGCCTATGGCTCAAAGGAGTAGAGCACCGGCCATATACACCAGAAGTGGTGGGTTCAAACCCGGCCCTGGCCAAAAACTGCAAAAATAAATAAATTAATAAATAAAAAATAAAAATCAGGTGACTGGAGACCTGATCTATAAAAAATGTGCAATAATTAAACATGTTCTTAGTAACCAGGTGATAAACGTGATGGCCCATTACAACTATATAGAATTTTATTATAAGATGGCTTCCGTATCCATGTTACCATAGAAACCCACTTCCTATAAACTTCTGCAATCACTTTAAAGGCCGTTCATTCAAAATTAAGCATTTCTGTTTTTCACGAATAACTTTAAATTACTCACTTTCAGCATCTGATGTTGGACGTTCAACGCACTGTATCTGCTATTGGAATCTTGCTGTAAATTCAAACAAAAGTCAACACAATGAAAACAAGTATGGGTCTCCTGCTGGACACAGCTCACTGCTTGTAAAATGTTTTCATTCATTTCCCTGTGTTTAGGTAAAATGCATTTTATACGTGAACTGGGAGGTCTCTAGGACTATTTATTTATTTTATAGCAGAAATGAAGTCTTAACATTCCTAGATTTTAGTAATAAAAAAACAAGCACCTCCTGGGCTACCAAGGAGAAACTCTTCTCAGCTTTAATACCTCTCAAATGCCAATGTTTTAATCAATCAACTAATGCTTACACATTGTTCTTAGAGTAAGAAAATGACTTGCTTTTCTCCAATTCATTTGGACTTTAGAAGATTTTTAAATGCCAATATAATCAAGGTATGTGATCGTAAAAATGGTTACAGGTCCCTTAGAGATTATTTCATCCACTTCTCATAGTCAGAAGAACTGAGGCTCCAGCTCGTGGAGGGACTCGTCCTGAGACACAGGGTCCCTGAACGGGGGCCAGTGGTTGTGCCAAGTGCTTGAGGCAAGAGGAAGAGGGGACAAGCCCACCTGGACCAAGTCTCACAAGCTTAGCACGGCTAAGGGAAGGGAGACAAAAGCCACTTTCCTTTCCTGAACGTCACCTGGTAAGAAATTTTACACAAATGATTCTGCTCCAGTGAGCCTGCTTCACAGAGAGAGACTGAGAAAGGGTTAGGACCGTGCCTGGGGTAACCGGGCCATTGCACAGCGGAGCCAGGACTGAACCCACATCCGCACGCCCAGCTCCGGGTTCTGGGATCTGCCTGTGCGTCCCCGTGGAGCGTCTCTGCACATGGCCCTCACACATCTGCACAGTCCTGGGCAGCCATAACCTCCAGCCACAGTCAGGAGGCAGAAAACACACCTGAAACGCCTGCCCCTTGCGAGCTCACTCTGTCTGCAGTACACGCTCATGCTTCCTCATGTATCCAAAACTTCTCAAGGGAACTGCATTTTTGCTTCTCCATTTAATTTTACTAGTGTATTTTAAAATGAGGGCGTTACATTATGAAATGGACAACCGAGTGCCTGCAGTTTGGGTCAGGGGTTTTACCATCAAGTAAGGGTTAAAAGCCAAGCACCTCCTGGGCTACCAAGAAAAACTCTTCTCAGCTATAATCCCCCCAAAGGCCCAGGTTTTCATCAATCAACAAAAGCTTACACATTCTTCTTAGAGTAAGAAAATGACTTGATTTTCTCCAATTAATTTTGACTTTTAAAAAGACTTTTAAATGCCAATATAATTCATTCATTCCATTCATTCCACTAATGATTTCAAATGCCGACTCAAGGGCAGGCCCTGGGTTATGTATTATACAACCAAAGTCCAACCAAAATGAACCTTACACTCCGCAGAAAGGAAAGGCTGCAGGTAAATAAATGAATAGACCAATCCTCTCTTTATTGTTGAATATTAAGGTTATTTCTTATTGATCACTGTCATCAATAACATGGTAAGTAAAGGCAGGTTTTAGAAGAACAATGTTTAAAGTCATCCTAGAATTTTTGGCAGTAAAAAAATAATAACAACACTTTCATTTCTATAATCTTAGTGATCGACGGAGTAAAAACTTTTGCAGCTCCCTTTTGTTCAAGTTTCATGAAAACAAATTAAGAAAAAAACAAAACATGAGTGAACAAAACTCCTTACCCTTCCTTTATTCAGTGTTTCTTGCGCTTCTAACTTATAAACAAGAAAATCTAGGGGAAAAGTGGAGAAAACAGAATGCAAGTTAATTTATTACAGAAGTTTAAAACACCTAAGGAATAAAGGTAAATTATACTTAGGCTTTCAAAAATGTTTTAGTTTTAAAAAAATCTACTTGGTTATTTATATACTTTATTTTGGCTCTTAA